GCTAAGCAGATGTTCCCCTCCAAGACTCTTGAAAGTGCGATTATCATCTTGAGGATTCAAAAATCCAGCTTTACGTAAATTAACCCGAAATCGCTGTGATTCTAACGTATAATCTGGACGTATCCGACCTCCTGATGATTCATTATCCGCATGCCCGATCATATTAAATAATGTGCGACGTAGCTAATTATTATCAAGATATGTATTGTAAGTACAGGTGTAATCTTTCTTTTTTTTTAATGCAAATGCAATTTATTAACCTTTATAAACTTCATACAATTACGAGCCGCTATTTTCCAATGTTTTTGCGAAGGTATGGGTGGAATTAAGGTCTTTAAATATTTATTAACCTCCTCAAGAATAGTGTCAAGACCTTGATGTTGGTTGCTATATCCTGATCGTGAAATAACTGAATATAATTCTATACACTGTTTAACCTCAGGATTTAACCGCATCAATTGTTCTTCATATGTTATTTCAAGTAAACGGTACATAGGGTGCCTACGACCAGACCATATCGGAGCAAATATGCGTCGAGCAGCACTTACCAACAATGGTCGATTATTTCTAATTCCCATACGAAAATTGATGACTGCCTGGAGATAGGTAAATGTCTATAATAATTATTAGTCAAAGTTTCAAATATATTAATATTTTATTACTGTATTAAATGTCTTACTTGTTCGAATTTTAATTTATATATATGATCTTCTTGTTTTCGTGCCCAATCTAGATAGTTTTCAACTGAGGGATTTTCTGTCGCAGCTACGTATGGCCATAATAGCTCACATGTGATGACATGTCGGTAAATATTACAAATAGAGTCCCACGATTTGTGATGATCAGCACACTTTTTAAAATACCCAAGTTGGTTTTCTGTTCTGTATCCTTGAAGAGAAGCGAATTGTTTGATATCAATCATCCTTAAGAAAAATAAAGAAAATAAGTTAAGTAATTTTTATATTAAAGGCATAATTCATATACTTTAGAAAGAAAGTACCAATTTAATTCTACGAATGCCTTGAGCATGTTCATCTCTTCGTGCAGGGCACCAGGAATCAATATAAGCCACGGAAAGTCTTTTTTAATCTTTTGAGCTAGAGTATAAGGGACGCCATCGCAAGTAACGGGTAGCCATTTTCGCTCTCCTTGGTTTATTTCCGCGATTTTTTGTATGTATTCTAGAACTTTTCTGACATTATCTATTGAATTAGGATTATATTCTAATGGATCTGGTACATACATTTCAGGAATAACAACATTATGCTCTGGATTCGACTGCTGTGTAATGCTAATACAATCAAAATTGGG